ATGCAGAAATTTAAATATATTGAACAACTTTATGGATTCAACTTATTATATCTTGAACACAATTGTATGCCTTCAGCTATAGATAAAAAATATTGTTGGTCATTTTACTATAAAAAGTTGTGTTGATAATTTTACTATAAATAATTATTGTTGGTAATCTTTTATATAAAAATGTATTGCTGGTATTTTTAAGATAAAACTTTATCTTTATAGTGTTTAGTCTTTGTTTGGAAGTTGACCATTTGCCCGGATCTGGGACCCTAAGAGGTGCTATCATTCTGGGTCAGGATGGACCTGGGAACAACAGCAATTAATAGGTGTTGCTACGTTCCTCAAAACCCTCCAGATCAGAGGCCTTGATGGAGGATGTAGTTTATCGTCATACAAAGGATCATGTAGCGCCAGTGCACAACGTTCGAAGTAGGATGGTCCTCTTGAGACCTATGTGTTAGAGAGTATTTTAATTGTTAATCTATGAAAGCTCTTGTGAATTTTTCCTTTAATAAAATTTCTCGAACATTCAGGCTGATAGGCGAAAATAATAAAATGTACAGTTTAAAAAATAAACGGATCTCTTACGCAAATACGAGTATTCACTAAAAACAACGTTTAAAGTGACACACACACATATATATATATATATATATATATATATATATATATATTATAACAGTCTATGGCTAAGGAGGACTGGTATATGGTTGTGCTAGCCTGAAATAGACTATAACCACATTTTGATTTTTGTTGTATAAAATATATGCTCTATTATAATAAATACATTGAGCTCTCGAGCTCTCCTTCTCTGTGTGTGTGTGTGTGGATCAGTTTTATTTTTCATATTACTAGGATCCACCTGGATTATATACCAACGGATCTATTACCTGTACTACGGCGTTTGTTTACATTCGTAATAACAATACGCTAGAATTAGCAGTGTCTTTCTGCCATGTGCTGATGGCTTAGGGGTAGAAACTCCGACTGACTCCATTTCAGTCGGGTTTTCATCCTGGCTTGAGGCTTTCGGACGTCTAGTCACACTGAGGAGCTGCGAAACAGTACTGTCTACGAATAATAATAATAATAATAATATATATATATATATATATATATATATATATATATATTGATAGATTTTTATGGCGCTTTACTCTGATAAGTGAATATGAAGTGTCTATTCAAGGCGATGGACGTATTTCCGATGTTGATACCGATATATATATATATATATATATATATATATATATATATATATATATATATATATATATAATATGGTAAATAAATAATACATCAACGCATTTGCAGGTCAACAATCAATCGAGATTAAAGAGTGATTGTGATATCCATAATCGTGTCGATTCTGGCGAAGAATGTGCCGCGCCAAGGACAAATAGTGCTTTGAATTCTGAGTTGTCCTTCTCCTATACTACCTGTTCAATCAGTCCTGATATTTAATCCATAGCTGCGGTGCGGCGGGGAAAGAGATCGATTCATACCTTTTCCTTGTAAGTCTGTGCGAATGTGAACGCATCTAACTTGCCGCGCCAATTTCTCTTTCAGAGCCGCTAGCCGTTACACTACCTGCACGACCATATTAGGGATAATATATATTAACAAAAATCTGAGTTTCCAATGTAGATCGTCACAACACGATTTTAGAAGTGGAATAGTATTTTGCCTGACAATCCTAACAGGAAGAGAACTCGGCTTCTGTTCACCGATTCGATTTCTCCGTCGGTGAAAAATTTCCCTTACGAAAAATCTTCTGAAGATCCGGCGAGCGTGAATCTCAGGTTATGACTAGAGCCATCTTTTCATAGGATTTAACGTTGTTAAGCGGTTTTTGATCGGTCTATGTAATCTGGGATTTCATCTCTTCTATTTACTAAGAAGGTAAGTTTGTTATGTGGCCTATACTCTTTCTTTTCAGTATTGTCGTCTTTATTCAAAACCGTATCTGTATAAGAGTTTTAGGCTTTGGAAGGTTGTCCGTTAGTTCCATCAAAACAAAATGTACACACACACACACACACACATATATATATATATATATATATATATATATATATATATATATATATATATATATTATATATATTTATTCGGTAGAGAAGATTTATGAATAAAAATGACAATAGGAAAACTGGTAATTGCTGACGCGTTTCGTCCAATGTGGACTTTATTTTCGTATTTTGCTTTGATAAAGTCCACATTGGACGAAACGCGTCAGCAATTACCAGTTTTCCTATTGTCATTTTATTCATATATATATATATATATATATATATATATATATATATATATATATATATATATATATATATATATATATATATATATATATATATATATATATCAACACTTAGAGTCAGTCTGTTTCATGCTAGATGGAATCGTCGTGGCCTGACGTTTGTATCTAGCATGAAACAGCCTGTCGCCTCTATATGTTGACTTCTATGATCATTTTATATTTACACAAACTCTATTTCTGATATTGTGCACTTTATCCCATAAATATAGCACATCTTAAGATTATATTTCTTCATATATATATATATATGTATATATATATATATATATATATATATATATATATATATATATTTGATGCATGTTTCATTAAATAATATCGACAAGTGTTGTCTGTTTATTTTATGTAAATTCTTTTCATATCGTCTGATAAGCTTAAGAACATTATCATTAAACGAAGAAAGAAAATCATAATATTGATCCATATTTTTTAATCCTTTTTTTAATCTAAGCTTTCGACATATATAAGCCTTTATCAAAGATGACAATTACCTTATAATATATTAAGCAATACACGAAAAAAACAGTGATGATAGTCTGTTTCTGTTTACATGAATGATTTCCAAGCAACGACAAACTCGTGCATATGGAAGTGAAAATCGCACCGTAGCCCATGACGTCACACATGGCCACGCAAGTGTGAAAACGAGAAGTATTAAGTATGAGAAGCCGTTGGTATACACCAATGGCTTCTGTTGCTAATTGTAGGAATTTAAAATTTACATGAAATAAATAGACAACACTTGACTATATTATTTAATGAAACATGTATCAATGAAAAAATGCTGCTTAAATACACACAATATATATATATATATATATATATATATATATATATATATATATATATATATATATATATATATATTGTATATATATGTGTGTGTGTATATATGCGTGTGCGTGTAAGCAAGATTATGTCGAACTTTGCCTCGTTCTTTTTAATTTTTGGCTGGTTAGATACATAGATAGAGGAAAGTGTTTTGACATAGAAATCAAAGCTGCCTGGTAACTGAAAGTTTCAAGCCTTAAGCGATCATTAGACCAATATCGCCATATATGCTTGCGTGTAAATGTGCCGGCGCTTATTTAAAAACTGGCGACAGAATTCGGAAAATAGCGCTTACACACACGTAATTACAAACGCATACATCGACACACACACACTTACCCCCCACACACACACATATATATATATATATATATATATATATATATATATATATATATATATATATATATATTTAGTCACATTTCATTGAAAACGACAGTCAAGTTGCTTTTATTCAGTTTTTTATAAAAAAACTAAATAAAATCACCGTTACTCGTTTTCAATGAAAGAAGGATTGCCAAAATACACACACACACACACAAACACACACACAAATATATATATATATATATATATATATATATATATATATATATATATATATAAACCGTTTTAAAAATTTTATTATAAGGTGCATTGTTTTATTCGAGCACTGTTTACACCAGCACAATGTGCGATATATATATATATATATATATATATATATATATATATATATATATATATATATATATACGTGTCGTATATACATATATCTTATTCAACTTGCTGGCACAGGATAATATTCATTTACAGAAAATCAATTGCATAAATTTATAAATAGTTTATATTCGTAAATGCAAATTATCCTTTGATCTTAAATATGTGTGTATTTTTCATGAATGCAGTGAGGCCTTAAAAGGCATATCAACATATCTATATACATATATATATATATATACATATATATATATATAAGATTTTAGTAAAAAATATACATACTTTTATATATATATATATATATATATATATATATACATGTATATATATATATATTTTGTTCATAAAGAAAATTTTAGTAAAAACTACATGTAAATATATATATTTGCTCATAAATAAAATTTTAGAAAGAAATGCATCTATACATATATATATATATATATATATATATATATATTTTGCTCATAAATAAATTTAGTAAAAATACATATATATATATATATATATATATATATATTTGCTCATAAATAAAATTTTAGTAAGAAATACATACATATATATATATATATATATATATATATATATATATATATATATATATATATATGCACACGACTTCGGAAATATGACCAATTGATCAGACATGAGAATTTCTTTCTAAATCCCTTCTAGGTGATAATGAGAATTTTTCTGCACCCTCTCGTATATGCCTGTAAATACCTCACTATACAGTCATATGCACTATATGTATATATTAATTTCAATACAATAATCGCATCAATCTATATCTCCGCATATATATATATATATATATATATATATATATATATATATATATATATATATATATATATGTATTATATATTGCACGAATATGCACACTTTCACCAAGGTTTCCATTTTGTAAATAAAATAAATTACTGAGTCAATAAATACAACAGAAAATGAATTTCGAAGCAAAAAAAGGTAAACACAAAAATATACAAATAATGCGGAAGAAAGAAAAGGAAACAACGCCATGTTACAAATATTAAGAAATCTATGAACGCGATGTGAGTAACGGCAAAAAAGAAAGCGCCCGCCATTATCTTTCTGGTGAATCTGCGAAATAGTTGAGCGATATATTGAAATGATTTTTGAAAACCGTATCAAAATATCTTCAAGTCAGGAGCGATAAAAATATTCTGGCGCTGATTAGCAGAGGGCGACAAATTGAATCCGGTTTATCTGTCGACATCTCCTCGGCTGCTAGTCCTCCCAAGATGGCGTAGGTGGCAATGGCGGGAAAGATACGGTGAAAATGAAGGACTCGGATAAATAGTGAGGGAAGAGAGCTCATCAAATGAAAAGGCAGGAGGACGTTTTGATAGCAAGAAAGATCGAGAGGGAGGGAAAGAGAGAGAGAGAGAGAGAGAACAACTGAACGACGAAAAAGGAGAAAGGTAATATGAAAGGCTCAGAAACAAAGAAAAAATGAATTTCGAGGAAAAGAGTTAAGAATGGGAAAGTTTAAAACGAAAGACGGCGATGAAGGAGATGAGATAGTGCTAATCGTAGTAGGAATTAGATAATGAAGGAGATAGAGAATAAAATGAATAAGATGAAGGCTACACCTACAGAAGGAATTAGAGAAATATAAGGAAGAAAAAGAGAAAAAAGTGTAGATAGATATAAAGAGGAAGGAAGACATGTTAAGAAAAGTAGGAAGAAACAGAAAAAGAAAAAAGGCGGAAAAATACAAATAAAATGGAGGAAAAGAATAAAAGTTAAACCGGAAGAAGAATATAGCGAAAACAAAATACGAATGAATATAGTAATATTAATATTGTCCGTTTTCTTATAAGGAAACATTCAGAATCCATTGACAGAGCAGCCAGAGTTGAAATTTATAAAATGTTTCTATTAATTTTTCAGAAAATTAAGTTTCTCAAATCCAATAACAATTATCTTTCGTTCCAGAACTGGTGTTTCACTCCTGACTTTTGTTCGAACAAGTGTGCTTGACAAAATCGTGATTATTTTATCGTCATTTTCTCTTTGAGTTTTCATGTGTTAGCCTTTTAGTTGTTTGCTGCCGTTGCAACATATCACGTGTTGTGGTTTATGTCATTTGGTACAGTTTATTGTTTGCGGATTTGTAGTGCCAATGTACTTGGTTGGAAAATGGATGGCCCCCTCCAAGACATACAAAGTTCATTCACTCGAAGTGATTTTTAATCATTGATTTAAGAAAGCATTTGTATAGAGGTGACAGTTTAGACACTTCTGAACCCGTAGGGTACCACACATGACATCCATGTGGAAGTCTCGAGCTTGCAAAGCTGTTGAAGAAAATGACTCGAGTTTTCAAATTGATGTTTTGGTTTTGAGGCAACTTGCGGTTCTGACGCAGCTTGCGATTTTGAGGCAACTTGCGATTTTGAGGCAATTTGTTGTCGAAACTACTCCTAGAGCAGCGTATTCTATGTTTAATTTTCTTACCTTCTCGAATGAAAAGAAAAAATGTAGATCGATGGAAAGAAAAAATGATGGTGATGACGGTGGTGTTGGTAATGAAAGCCGTGGCGAAAGAATGAGTAAAGAGAAAATAAGCAACTGGACTAGAGTTGACAATCTGAAAAAAAAGGTTAAATATAACACACACACACACATATATATATATATATATATATATATATATATATATATATATATATATATATATATATATATATATATATATATATATATATATATATATATATATAGGGTGTAACAGCAAAATTATCCAAATCCTGCTCCAGAATAATTATCCATCCCATAAAATCTTTAATATTTAAAAAAAAAAAAATAAACTGATTTTCTTTTTCCAGGTTTTCAGATAAGACTTTTAGCCAACTAGACAACCTTTTTCGTAAGAATCACTGAAAAACCCTTCGAGTTGTTCAGCTAAAAATAGAGCAGGTTAAAATTGTTTTTGTGTCAGCCGCACTGTCTTCTCAACTGAACAACGATGAGAGGAAAAAGATCATTCAAGCCTTCAGTAAAAATATCACGATTCATACTTTGATTTCTATCTTCAAAGTCCATTCAAGAGCCATCAAGAGAACGGTGAAAAAGTTTTGAAAAAATGAAGAGAACAGTAGAGAGGAAAACTGGAACTGGAGGTAACCACAGGAAGAGCCATTTCAAATAGAGCTAAAGAGATCAATTAGAAAAGATCCAACTCAATTCATAAGACGGTTGGCACGCGAGAGAGGAGTTTCCGATATGACAGTCCAAAAAGCAGTAAAAAAAGACTTATAAATGAAATCGTACGTAAAACGTGTGAGGCACCTTGTTACTCCAGGATAGAAAGTTAGAAGGACGGCGATGTTCATCTTGAATAAATTGGAAAATTTATATATATATATATATATATATATATATATATATATATATATTAACTTACTTTATTTAAATCCGATCTTTAGTTATAATTAATTAATGATGGACATATCATTTACGTTTATGATCGATTTCATGACGATTCTTCGGTTAAACATCGAGAGTCCTCGGAATCATTCACTTCCCCAATTATGACCAAACGTTAAAATGTTTATTCATTCGTGGTCTGCAAACATTTGTATATATATATATATATATATATATATATATATATATATATATATATATATAGTAGAATCCCTCATATCCGGAATCCCTAATATCCGGAGTGCCTCATATCCGGAATCCCACATATCCGGACACGATTTTGATGTGTATATTTGAACTATTTGGGTGATATGCAACTCATTTGAAATTTCTGTTTTTCAGGAATTATACTTCAGATAATTGCTGATGCTAATTTTACCCTAATGGCTTGTATTGGTGCAAAAGATGATGGGAATAAGAGGAAAGGATGACAACGAGACACATCGACGAGATGCAGGATTATGATGAAACCTAGACTGAAATTGAAAAAGTTATTGAAAAGGTTGTCAGTTTTATGGAAAGAAAGCCAGCATTCAGCTCTGACGATTGCAATAACGCACGCAGAGTTAAAAAGTATATTTCGTTTAAAAAATTTCTAGAACAAAAGCAAAACGAAATGCGGAAAAAGTTGGGCATGACATTAGAAGAGAAAGAATCAACATGCAACAGCGATTAAAAAATCCTCGTTACATTATTTGTTTTGCATACGTGGCATACTTAATTAATTTTCATTAACATTACATAATTTATTTCTTTTTCCTTAAAATAAATTCTGTTATATTTCACTCGCCATTAGCTTATTTTGTTTATTATAAAACATTGAATATAAATGTTAAACCTGATTTCAGTTCTTTTATTTTAATCTACATAAAACGTCTCATATCCGGACTTTATAACCAATTCATCAGGTCCGAAGACCTTCTTAGTCTGGTTGTCAGGGGATTCTACTATATATATATATATATATATATATATATATATATATATGGCAGGATGTGTGTGTGTGTGTGTGTGTGTGTGTGTGTGTGTGTGTGTGTGTGTGTGTGTGTGTGTGTGTAACGAATGCACGGCCGCAATTTTCGACGGATTTGCACCAAAATTCTCCAAGTTAGCGGGAAGGCCAAGACCGACTTTGCATTTCCCAATTCCCATCGATAGTGGAAATAATCGATTTTTTCATGCTTCTACGACAGTTTTCATGTAGTTTGCGGCCATTTTGCACTAGCCAGAGTGAGAGTCAACAGCTGGCTGCCACGAATAGGCAGGAAGATTCTGTTGGCCAGCGTGAGAGCCAACAGCTGACTGACACGAATGTTAACTTGCATTCTAGCATGCAAAATAATCGATAGCTTCATTCGTCACAAGTGGGAAAAATTTAAATCTGCATGGCACTTTACTCCAATTGGCTCATTCGCTTGCTTAAACTCAACGTTGATTCTGATTCCGCAGAACTGGGTTGGATGTGAAAAACTATTTTTTGTTAGCATTCTTTTTTTATTCGGTTTTTCCAGTTACGAGTCCTTTTTTAAAGCTGATCGTTTCGTGTTCATTTTGTTTAGTTCTTTTTTCGTAACAGATTTATCGTTTAGTATAGTGCTTAGAAAAAATTCACAGTATCAGCAAGGCAAGGAAGGGCAAAAACATTTTAAGTCAAGTGATAGCGATTGCTGTATGAGTCGTCGATTTTTGAATCAAGCACGGGCAACGCCGGGCCATGCTGCTAGTATATACATATATATATATTTGAGTGTGTGTGTGCTTTGCTTCATTTTTATATTTCTTTTAGAATAGATAGAGGAGAGATAAAGAGAATGTTCAAGAATGGAAAAGAAAAAATAATGGATAATGCTCATTAAAACTTAATCCCGTATTCATCCTCCTGCCTTGTGTCAGACTTAGTGAATATAAAAAAATACATAAAATGATCTTAGTAATCGCGGTTAGACCTTTGGTTAACAAAAAGATGATTTCAAGAAACGATAGGCGAGTCTTCATTTCGTTTGGCGCAACACAATCTTCCTATGTCTATTCCACCCTGGATACTAGATTTGCTGAAGAGGGAGACGCGAACAAAACGAAAAGTGATTTGAAATGAAGAACAAATAGAAAAAAAAAACAGATAAAAAGTAACTTAAAGAAAAAAGAGAGAACTAAAAAGAAAGATGAGATAGAAATGAAGAGAAACAGAAGAAAGAGAATGAAGGAAATGATGGTGATAAAAAAAAAAAGAATATTACTGACTGATGAAAATAAAACAGCAGTAAAAATTTGCGCAGTGGAGAGGAAGGAGGTATTGAAATAAAAGAAGGAGATCAAGGAGAGTAAATTATTAGGAGAGCGGTTGAAGCAAGGGAGAGAAAATGACGAGACGATGATGGGATAATGATGTAAAGAAAAGATTATAAAAGAAGAAAAGAGGAAAGTAAAGAGTTGAAAGAAAGTAAAATGGCGGTGGAGTGTCAGGAGGTTGAGCGGGGGAAAGACTGTGATAAACTCTCCATGAGATATTGAATTACTCTGATGGTTTTCAAGACAAGAATTCTGAATTCCGATAAGTACGCGCATGCGCGCACAGATATGCACGAACACACACACACACACACACACATATATTTATAACATTATCTCGGTAATATGTATGCATGTATATGGGAACTAAAGCGTATATGGACACCTCTCATCACACATAAATATCGATGCCCATTTATATCTGAATACAAACAGAAGAATGTTGTTACGTCATCTGACATAATAGAAACATTATTTCATAAATAATTCGGACGATCGTCTCCATCTTTCTTACTGAGAATGTTTTAGACGGTCTGTTATGTGATTTCTAATGCGTTTTGGCGGAAGAAATCGTTGGGATCAAAATAACAAAGACGAAGATGCTCATCTAGAATAATAATAACTACCAATAACCTTGAAATCGTCACAGTTTTCTAATATTTAATGAATAAATAAGTTCAATGCGAGTTCTACTACTATAAAATACCCGTGGAAATTCTTCTGTTTCATCGTTAAATATTTGAGCTTAAAATTTTTTTAATGAGAATATTACAATAAGAATCATAAGTATGGATGTAGGTCATCATTTAAAGAAGTAAGAGGGTACAAATAAAAAGATTTAACATTAACAAGATTTTTTTTCATTTCATTGAAGCAGACGTTTTATGCATTCATTTAACCCTAGAACATTAACCATCAATTAAACTTACACCATTACTAACAATGGTTTTATAATACCCGATTTTGAAAATATCAAAAAAAAAATATTAAATATAAATCTTTATTTGAAATATTTTACATGCAGGCACTTCAATCTTTGTATTTTGAGTTAACATTAATAGGAACTGAAAAACATATTATCTAGGTAAGAAAATCAGGTACTGAAAATTGTAATTAAAAATAGGAAAATTTACGCTGGGTACTATATACCCATGATTAGTGTTCTAGGGTTAATGTATAAATAAGTTCCTTACGAGTTCTACTACTATGAAATACACGTGGAAATTCTTCTGAGCTTAAAATTTTTAATGAAAATATTACAATACGAATCATAAGTATGATGCAGGTCATCATTTAAAGAAGTAACAGGGTTAAAATTAACAAGATTTTTTTTCATTTCATTGAAGCAGACGTTATACGCATTCATTTAATGTATAAATAAGTTCATTGCGAGTTCTACTACTATGAAATACACGTGAAAAACGTCCTGTTGCATCGATAAATATTTGAGCTTAAACGTTTTACTGAAAATATTACAATACTAATCATTTGGGTTCATTTATTTGGAAAACGTGTAATAAAATTATAATAACAAAATAAGATGGAGTAAACGTAGTAATAAAATAATAATAATGAAAATGCTTCATCTAAAAAAAGTAGCAATAATAAGATCGATTAAAAAATAAACTCTAATACAATTTGTGTGACGAAATGATTCGTTTTCACTGCCGATATTTTCCACTTATAATGTAACCCCCTATTCCCCAAGGACGTGCAGCCATACAATTTTGATCTTATCTCTCGTAGATATCTTCACCTTGGGGTGGCTTTAGGGTCAGGTTTGTTAAATACAACTTTGAACTGGCCAAAGTGTTGGTGCCAATGAAGTCATCAATCGTCTAGAGTTGCTGGTAAGTGTTGTGTTTCTTACTGACAAGAAAAGTGGGGTTGCCCTTCCCTTCGATTCAGTAAGTCGTGTTATTTTCTTGACGACGGGGCTGAAGAAAAGAATGTCGTGCCCTTGTCAGAAGGGGAAGGCCTCATCTTGGTTGAAAAATAATAATAGTAAATAAAAAAGAATCGTAAATATGAATGCAGATCATTATTTAAAGAAGAGGGTAAAAATGAAAAAAAAATTAAAATTCACAATTTTTTTTCTATTTCACAGAAACATATGTTATAAGCAGGAGAGCATTATCGACCGTCTATCTTCAAGATGAATTAACAAGCAGAATTATAAGAATATTAATGATATTTGGTATCATATTTACAGACATTGCAACCACACACAAAGACAAAGGCACACACACACATAGATAAACAGTAATAGACTAAGATAGTAATCGACTGAGAGGTAGAAAAAAAGAAAGAAAGAAAGAAAGAAAATAATAAAAACTGATAGATTGGTAGATATTATACAACTATCTCAATTTATTAATATATTAACTACTATATTAATAGACTGAGATAGTTGTATATAGATGGCCACTCGTATTCGAGGTTACCCGTCTACTAGGACGCCTAGTCAATCCCTATTGCAGACGCTTGCTCAGGCACGTTTATGTTTATTCAACACCCACAGAAGCACACCTATGGTTTATACAGTAAGTATGCTGAGCAGACTGTAGTTACAGTTTCTGGGAAAGAGCGTGTTATCTAGTGTGATCAGCAATTTGAACAAGGCCAGCACCCTCAAACCCTCGGCCACGATGACTTGTGACTTCGTGCTAGCACAGCTATCGACTGCCCTATCGATTTCACTTACAAATCTTGAGCCGTGGTATGGTATTCAGGCACTTTCCAAAGGTGCTGCATGCTCCCCTCTAGTGCGATAACATCAGGAAGTTTCCTTCCTGGCAAATCGACCATAGTGTGATTAGAACCCGGGTCAGAATGGTCAGAATGCGAACGTTCTTACTACTCAGCGACGTTCCCATAGATAGATAGATAGATAGATAGATAGATAGATAGATAGATAGATAGTAACAGACCAAGATAGTAAGTGAAAGAAAGAAAGAAAGAAAGAAAGAAAGAAAGAAAGAAAGAAAGAAAGAAAATAATAATAGACTGAGATAGATAGATAGATAGATAGATAGATAGATAGATAGATAGATAGATAGATAGATATGAACAGACTGGGATAGATAGATAGATAGTAAGTGAAAGAAAGAAAGAAAATAATAATAGACTGAGATAGATAGATAGATAGATAGATAGATAGATAGATAAATAAATAAATAAATAAATAGATAGATAGATAGATTATCTTAAAATATGTTACATTTTTTAAGGAATTTTGCTTAATACCCATATCCGCTAGGGCGGGTTTGATGGTAAAAACAATGAAAACAGAAAACAATACAGAATGGTGGCTGGTAAATTTTATGATATAAGTTTTATCAGACGATAATTTGACGAGCGCTTAACTCTTTATTGCTCGCCAGAAAATCCGAAATTAATTTTTAAGTAATTAAATAAAACAATTGATATTAATTATATGTTTCTAAAGTAATATCTATTACTGATATCTAAAAAACCACGTAAAATTATATTTATGGTGGCAGAAAGTACGGAGCATCACCTAGTAAAATTCAAACTCACTACTAATACGATATAGGAAAGCAAGCAAAATACTCCATTTCACGTTAGGCCTTCTACTGCTTTTTCTTTTTAACTCCCACGCATGGCTGACGAGATTTGTACGTTACCTGTGGCTTTTCCAGTTTAAATGAAGATTTATGGTTGTACCATCTTTTCTTAAAAGTATCTTCCGTGCATTTCACGTAGACATTGATCTGCACTTCTGCCTTGTAGATCACTCTTTCCGTATTGCCTTTATCTCTGCCACACACACACACACACACACACACACACACACACATATATATATATGTATATATATAAAGGCCTTAAGCAGCGAAACAAGTACTTTATTCTGTATATGTTTACACACGTCTTTTGGGTCTTGTGACCTTCATCAGTCAAAGAATGGTTATTTCCACATATTATGTGAAGGATTTAATTTTTTCCCTATATTAAGTCCTTAAAACATTGTCTTTTGTGTGCAGAAGTAATCATATGAATTCACCTTAAACTGGAATAATATATATATATATATATATATATATATATATATAGTTTATACGTTAATTTTTATTGATACAAATATTTAAATAAATACTCTGTTTATAATAAGCATAATTAACAACATTTACCGGACTAAATGTCCGAGAAATTTCATACAAAATAGGCATCCTCTGACAGGAATCGAACCTGTATCCTACACGGAACCCAAAAATAGCTCCATGTTGCAACTCACTCCGCCATAAATTTGGAAACGGCATGCTGCACTGATTTTGTGTGTGTGTGTGTATATATATATATATATATATATATATATATATATATATATATATATATATATATATATATATATATATATATATATATATATATATATATATATATATATATATATATATATATATATATATATATATATGTGTGTGTGTGTGTATGTGTGTGTAAAGCAAAAATATATGAATATAGATACGACAATGTATGAAAGTTGGACATTTCCGGTTAATATACTGAAAAAAAATAAACAAAAATTCAAATAAAAAGACGAGGACTTAATGTTTAAACAGATAAAAATTTTTATAAGACGTTTCAGTTTAAACATATCACGCCATCGTCACTTATCGCCCACGTGACGACGACGTGATCATATTGAAACGGAATGCTTCAACATGATCTTATAAAATATTTCAAACAGATGTTTGGATTGGATTTATAAGATCATCGTTCTTTTTAAACATGTTGAATTGTATATGGTTTATGTTAATTATGTTTTATGAATATGTCCTGAAGATGGTCTATTAGACCGAAATGTCCGACGTTGACATTAAACATTAAAACAGCATATTCGCATATTAGGATTTTTGTTTGTTTTTCAGTATATTTTTTCTTCATATATATATATATATATATATATATATATATATATATAGATAGATAGATAGATAGATAGATAGATAGATATGTATATATATATATATGTATATATATATATATATATATATATATATATATATATATATATATACAAAATTTAATTAAATGAAATACGTCATATTTACTCACCGTTATTAAGATATATATTTTTATACCATATTAAACTTACGTATATGTATAGATTATACGTGTGATTTCTACACTGTTTAGTCAGATAGTATTGTTTAGCGGATGTAAGCTCCTTTCTGAGTATGAATACGATTATACGATTATACGATTATGTCGTTTTGATTATGCACGATTCCACACCTTTATAAGCCGAACTTACTATTCAGAAATCATTTTAATATTCAGATGGTTTATAGCGTTTTGAAGAAAAAGTTAAAACAATTTCACGATAATATTTATTATTTACGACCTGAGGTTCTTCCTCGGAATTTTCCGAATTAATTCGTACGTTTTGCATCATTTTTACCTTACAAAAATAAATATTTTATCTTTATGCATACGTAAAGTATGTACGCCATTGTAGATAATATATGCACTACAAAACTAATTATGTCCTGTGTTACGGCGTCAAGCGGGCGTCAGACTGGCCCATTGTGTTTTTAACTTGATAATACCAGTTGTCTGTGGCGTCGGTTGGGGTCCCAGAGAGGGCTTGCTGACCTCTAAACGGGCATTCTGCTACCGATTGATTAACAGACGAACGTGGGTACCACAGACATGATTTTTCAAATCGCACTGTTTTCCTAGACGATAGAGAATTCGTCCATTCGCGATGGCATCAAATCGGCAAGAATGGCGTCTCCAAATTTCGTTTATTGGATCTCAACGTGGAATCAACCCGTGTCTTATCCGTCTATGGAGGCAAGACTTCATTTTCAATTGTGTAATGTCTGTCAATGATTTGATATGCGTTGCGTTTGAAAAATTTGCCAATGATGATGGAAGCGAGGGAGTTGATAGCAGCCAAAGAAGCAACCGATAGAAACCTGCCCCTCAGGGAATTGTTTTAATCATTTGTTTTATGTAAAGTCTGCGATCCATTCCAACATCCTTTTAACCATTTTGATTTTTATTCTAAATTAATTTGCTACTAATAAACCATTATTTAGCAACTTTTTGCAAGTTTTGAATGATTTCTTCGGAAAATAAACTGCTTTGTACAATAAAAAATAATAAATTCGCGTATATTTATTTATACGAGAAAGACCTATGAATATTTCATGGATTTTCTATTTAATTTCTCCGATGAATCTTAATTCTTAACTTTTAAGTTAATTATTGAGTAAGCCCATGACACTTTCTACAATAAATTATCCGGAGAAATTCAACCTATTACGTCGTTAAATATATGAGCTTAGGACCTTTAATAAACTATTAAATATGCTCTGGTGTTTCCGCTGTACGTCTCGAGATCCTTGACAAAATCTAGAGACGAATATGCAAGATGATAGGTCCTGATCTGGCATCTAGTCCACAATCGATTTCCCACAGACGTGCTGTGGCCTCCCTCTGTCTCTTCTACAAATATTTTCACGTCAACAGTTCCGACGAGCTACTTTCGCTGGTTCCCGGACTACATTAATTTAAATATGCTACTAGATAGCATCTCGGTCTCACCCTTTCACTGTGAAAACGGGTAAATGTAACGGTCTCTTATTTTCGAACGGCTTCTTCTCCGGCACTTCCCGTCTATGCAACTCCCTTCCCCTTACTTGCTTCCCCTATGACTAAAATCTTCAAATATTCAAGTGTAATGTCAATCGACATCTGATACCATGAGCTTGTTCCCCGTCCTTCTCTGTATCCTTTCTTCGAACACGCCCCTTTACTCTTGTTCTCAATTCCCTGTAACCCCTTACGTGCTAGTGGCACTCCCGCTTTGCCTGGGGTGAATTGCCGTAAAAAAAAAAAAAAAAAAAAAAAAAAAGACTATTGCAATAACAATATAAATGCTGGTCATTATTTTAAGAAGTGGGTACAAATGAATATATTTGAAATTTATAACTTTTTTTTTTTTATTTCGGTGAAACAGCTGTTAAACATTTAATGAAAGTCTATTTAAATAGACACGATTCTAAATTCATTTCTGTCTCCCTGAATCCTGTTCTTTTATTGTCCTTTCGCCTCATTAAAGTCTTCTCATTCCACTTCCCTCCAACGGGACATACCTTCCCTCCTGTCTCTTCTACAAATATTTTTATGACAATTGTTCTGATAAAATTTTCACTTGACTGCTTGAATTTAATGTTGAAGTCCCTTCTAGTTTCTTGCATCCCTATCAACTACAATCTTCAAAAATTTAAATGTAAATCCAATCGCCATCTTCTGTCTCCCCGAAACCTGTTCTTTCATTGCCCTTTCTCTTTATTAAAGTCTTCTCATTCTCCTTCGCTCCTAATAACCTTTTGCGTCTTAGTATCATCTTGCTTGGTGTGAAATGATTAAAACAAATGTTCTGGTGAGCTACATTTCTTAGTTTTACCATTTCAGACTTTTACAAGTAAGAGCCGCCAGACCGCGTACACTGTGTTGAATCATTCTCATTTTATTCGTATTTCATTAGTAAATTATACCATTCAAAGAGATTCTTGTCAAGAGCAGCTGTTTTATGGAACAGATTCATCAGTGCATTCTTCCTCAATCACTATAAACTAATCTTCTTCAAATTAGGGTCAACCGGTATCTATCCTCATAAGCTGCACAATATTGTTTACAAATTAATTCTTATCTCTCTCTTGTCTCTCGTATAAATATCCGCATGTCCTACGAAATATCTCTACTCTAAACTGCCGGTCTGAAAATCACCACAGAGTCACCTCCAGGAAATGGTGACGGAAGTACTAACAAAACAATCCCAACTACGCACCCTTATTCACCATGAAGATTTACCAATAAAAAATCAGTATCAGTCTTGTTCAGCAAACATCTCAATTGAAAATAAATGATTGCTCTTAACTTTGAACCGTGAATTTGCGTCATTTCCTGCCTTGGTCCTTTTATATTACTAAAATTCTCCCAATGCAATTCTCGAGAGACACTCAAGTTATTGTTAAAATGCTTAAGAAAAATGTGGTGCGTGACATAAATAAAAGAAGAGGTGAGAGCAAGTGATGCATATGATTGTATGGAAAGATAGAAAATGGCACTTGACTTGAAAAGATTAAGGTTAGGGCTCAAGGAAGTACTCACGCGGGAGTCTGTTCTACAAAGTAGCAGTTCTTTGTAAGCAGTTGTTTGAGTGGAACTTTATCATTAAATCTAGAATACGGGGGGAATGAGGATAATTTT